TGTATGTACGCAATGCAAGGTAAGCGGAAAATTGGCTCTTCCCATCTGGGAGCATTCTCCGTGTTTGAGGAAAAGAATGACATCTTCCCATCAAATCTTAAGAATGGGAAATGCAATATTGTCGCCCATTCAATTTTCAAGAAAGTATCCTATATTCCCAGGGAAATCATTCGCATACATTCCCATGGCTCCCCAATCATCAGGATTTAATTATTCATAATTTCAACTATCAAAAATGAGTTGCATGATTCTTGCGCATATCATGGATGTATCAATGTCAAATGGTCCACATTCCACTGTTTGTTTCTATGTCTGTGTTGGTGGAAATACAGACATAGATGGATTGGAATATAACCTGTGTAGATCAGATCACTATCAACAAAATAGAATATATCATAATAATTCATAATATATCCAAACACAGATGATAGTGATCATAATATAAACAGATAATTGCCAGAATTATTATGTTTGGATATACTATTGCCAAACACCTATGATGGCATCAACTTAAACTCATGCATCAACTTAAACACACACATCGATTTGTTCCACTACCGGGACAGTTGACCAAAAGATTTTCACCCATATCGATATCTACATGTATAAAAGAATCATGGTAATGGAACATCCCTGATTTTGGTAGCATTGTCGATCAATCTATACATGTTCTATACATGTTCTTAATTCAATGTGGGATTTCCAACCTCCACCAACATCCTTTTGGGATTCCTAAAATGGTATCCCCATGCTGATCCCAAAATTCGCTGAAAATGCCGTCGCGGTTGCAAAAGCTTGGAGATGAAGTTCCGCACGATCAACGGACAGCTGAAGGGATATCTGGGCTCTCCTTTTTCCTGTCGAAAAAAAGTCAAGGCATGAAAAGTCTGTGCACCAAATTTCACCAAGCAATCAATCGTCCAAGTGAGTCCGGCTCCAAATGACTGAAATCCACTGAAATCCCAGAGCGATCCAGTCGAACTCCGATGTTTGATCCATGAAGCACTTAGCGTCTTGGTCAGTGAGCATGGGAAGAATCACAGAAGTGAAGGGGACCTATCACCATGGTGCCAAACCATTGATCCCCATCGACATGGCCATGATCACCATGGTGCTGTTGGTGAATACCAAAACACTGCCTGGCTGCGACGGATGGCCAGCAGCTTCCTGCAGCCATGCGCCAGGGGGGTGCAGTTGAGGTAACTAACCATGGATATAACCACCATAATGAGATGGGATATCATAAACCCAAAAACAACTATTAGTTGGAAAATATTGGAAATATCCCAACTTATGGCAGGTGGTAATGATTCATGATAAAAATAATCGGGTATGATATAAATTCCCAAAAAACTGCAGCCGGTCCCGAAGAGATCAGCGAGGCCCTCGTCATCCCAGGGCGTATGCCCTGCATTGAGCTCAAACGTCAGCACGCCCAGGGACCACCTCAACCAACGTTGGGATTTAGCTGGATTTAGCCAGCAAAAAGTAGGATTTCACCTGGATTTAGCCAGCAAAAAGTGCGATTTCACCAGGATTTTGCTGGATTTAGCCAGCAAAAAGTAGGATTTCACCAGGATTTAGCCAGCAAAAAGTTGGATTTCACCAGGATTTAGCTGGATTTAGCCAGCAAAAAGTAGGATTTCACCAGGATTTAGCCAGCAAAAAGTTGGATTTCACCAGGATTTAGCTGGATTTAGCCAGCAAAAAGTTGGAAAGTAGCTGGATTTAGCCAGCAAAAAGTAGGATTTCACCAGGATTTAGCCAGCAAAAAGTTGGATTTCACCAGGATTTAGCTGGATTTAGATTTCACCTGGATTTAGCCAGCAGAAAGTGGGATTTAGCTGGATTTAGCCAGCAAAAAGTGGGATTTCACCAGGATTTAGCTGGATTTCGCAAGCAAAAAGTGGGATTTCACCTGGATTTA